TCATAAGAATGTTGTTTATTGGTCCAGTGGTGAGGATTTTTGTTTTCTTTACATTGAGATGTAGTCCATACTGAAGGCTGTGCTCTTTGATCTTCATCACATTAGGGGTGAGTTAAATTGAATATTTGACCAAATATAGCAAGCTAATTTTCCATTGATAATTTGTATGGCCAGTGTATGATGTTATAAATTTTAGTGGAAAAAGGGTTCCCTACCCCTGCTTGGTGTGGCACTGTGGGCTAATGCGTCAGACTACAAAGTTGTTTGTACTGTAAGTTGGGAGGTTCAAGCTCACCAGCTGCTCCTTGGAAACCCTATACAGGGTTGCTATGGGTCGGAATTGACTCAACGGCACTTAACAACAACAACAATAACAAACCCCTCCTCTAGATCCTACATCTGTCTCTCCATCATATTACCTGCATTCTTGGAATTTGTAGGTTGCCACCATCTGTGAGTCATCAGCCTGCTGTCTTTCCTGCCTTGCTTGGATTCATCAGCCTCCACAGACTATGAACCACTAGTTTGCCATCTGACCTGCTGATCTTGGGTTTATCATCCCCTGATGGCTGACATGATCCATGGATTTAGCTTTGCCAGCCTCTACAATCATATTTAAGCTATTGTGTTGGAGGGGAATATTAAAAGTACCATGGACTGCCAAAAGAACATACCAATCTGTGTTGGAAGAAGTACAACCAGAATGCTCCCTGGAAGCCAGGATGGCCAGACTTTGTCTCTCATACTTTGGACATGTTGTCAGGAGGGACTGGTCCTTGGAGAAGGATATTATATTTGGTAAAATGGAGGATTGGAGAAAGAGAGGAAGATTTCCCAGTGAGATGTATTGGCACAGTGGCAACAGCAATAGGGTCAAATATACAAATGATTGTGAGGCTGGCACAGTGGGACACTATGAGTCGGTACCAACTCGATGGCACCTAACAACAAGCAACAACAACAACAACAACAACCACATGAACTATCTCCTTGAAATAAATCTCTATAAGTTGGTGGCGCCTGTGTGCCATGGAGTCAGTTCCAACTCATAGCAACCCTGTACAGGGTTTCTGAGGCTGTAAATCTTTATAGGAGCAGAATACCTCATATTTCTCCCGCAGAACAGCTGGTAGTTTCGAACTGCTAACCTTGTGGTTCGCAGCCCGATTCATAACCACTACGCTACCAGAGCTCCTTTAAATCTCTATATAGAAATATATATATATATATATGCACAACACACACATAATGTGTTTCAGGGAACTTTGAAAAGTTAATGGAGAAACAGAATTAAATGCTATGCTAATTGATTTCACATGCTGTTGTACAAGAAAATTAACACAATGCACTTTAGAAAATACCTCTTGGGGAAGATGTAGTTGGCAAACAAATGTAGAGCACATGCTTTATTTCAATAAAAATGTGGTGCTTCAGAAAAGATTCCATGTTTTTGAAAACCCTCCAGCATAGTTCACAGTTCTACCGTCACATACATGGGGTCACCATATGTCAGCGTCAGCTTGGCAAGTTGATGCCAACTAGGCTGTTCTAGGTGCCTGGTGCTAGATGAACAGTAGTCAACAAACCACATAAAATATAAAAACAAAAATCCCTACTCATAGAGTTCTGTTGTAGATATCATTATGGACAACTTCCTAGATAAATTTCTAATTCTTGGATTATGAATATATCTGATTTCTACTTTTAGTAATGTATTAACACAAAGGAATTATCTACATAGCTTGGAAAACATCGATACCTGTAAATGCACTGTGTGTGTACGTTTTTCTATAATTAAAATGTTTTATTGTGCTTTCCATGAAAGTTTATATAGCAAATTAAGTTCCATTTAATAATTTCTGCACATTTGTTCAGTGCTATTGGTTATATTTTTCACAGCATGTCAACTTTCTTGTTAGTTTTCTCCTGTTTCCATTAATTGAGTTTCCCTGCCTCCTTGCCTTCCCATGTTTGCTTAGGAGTAAATGTTGACCATTTGGTCTCACGTAGATGCTTTTTTTAAGAAGCACAATACTCAGGGATGATATTGTTTATTTTATATGCCAATCTGTTAGTTAGCTGAAACATGACCTCTTGGAATGATTTTGGTTCTAAATTTAAACAGTGTCTCATTTGATGAACTATGAGCCATGCGCAAAAAGTAATGTTTTTAGGCATAATCAGCGGGAGAAAGGTGAGGCTCTCTGCTCCCATTAATGTTTAGTCTCGGAATCCTTAGCAGTTCTGTTCTTGCTAAGAGTTGAAATCCACGTCATGGCAGTGGGTAGGTTAGGCAAAATTTGGCCACTATTTGAGTGCTTTGTTGAAAGAGGGAAAGAAATTGAATTAGGAACCAAATGCAAATTCTGACCCCCAATAGAAAGGAGATGCATTTCTTTTTTCTTTTTTTTTTGCCAAATGGGAAATGTCATTAAGAGTGTCTGCTTCAGTCACTTTTCAAATCTATGACTTGAGTAAATTTCTCCTCCTATGCAGAATTTAAGAAATCTATTTAATGTTGCTACCAATACCCTTTTCCCATCTGTAGGTCTGTGGACATACTCGAACTGACGGAGCAGGAGGAACTGCTGAAGTTTCACTATCACACTCTCCGCCTCTACTCAGCTGTGTGTGCTCTGGGGAACCACAGGGTGGCCCACGCCCTGTGCAGCCACGTGGATGAGCCTCAGCTGCTCTACGCCATCGAAAACAAGTACATGCCTGGCTTGCTCCGTGCAGGCTACTATGATCTGCTCATCGACATCCACCTGAGCTCCTATGCTACTGCCAGGCTTATGATGAACAATGAATTCATCGTTCCCATGACGGAAGAGACCAAGAGTATTACTCTTTTCCCTGATGAGAACAAAAAGCACGGTCTCCCTGGGATTGGCCTTAGCACCTCCCTTAGGCCTCGAATGCAGTTTTCCTCACCCAGTTTTGTGAGCATCAGTAATGAATGCCATCAGTATAGTCCCGAGTTTCCCCTAGATATCCTAAAGGCCAAAACCATTCAGATGCTAACAGAAGCAGTCAGAGAGAGCAGCCTTCATGCCCGGGACCCAGTCGGGGGTACCACTGAATTCCTTTTTGTACCTCTGATCAAGCTTTTCTATACCCTGCTCATCATGGGCATCTTCCACAATGAGGACTTGAAGCACATCCTGCAGCTGATCGAGCCCAGCGTGTTTAAGGAAGCTGCCGCGCCAGAGGAGGAGACTATAGGGTTAGAGAAGGAGCTCAGCATGGAAGACTCAAAGCTGGAAGGAGCTGGTGAGGAAGACGTTAAGGCGGGTAAGAGGCCGAAGGAAGGTCTGCTCCAAATGAAGCTGCCAGAGCCAGTTAAATTGCAGGTAATCAGAAAAAAAGATACTCTTAATTTCACAATTGCTAATTAACAAGGTACTGAATTTTAACTTTGTCTCTTTCTGTATGTGTGTGCTTATGTTTCTGTATATGGTTGTTGTTGTTAAGTGCTGTCGAGTCAGTTCAGACTCATATGCCCTTGTATAAGGTTTCTGAGGAGCAGATGGTGGGTTTAAACCAGTTAGCAGTCCACTGCTTATCTTATATCCCCAACCAAGAACCTCCTGTATAATGGTTGTTGCTGTTGTTACGTACTGTCGAGTTGGTTTTGGCTCATAGTGACCCTGTATATGATTTCCAAATAGCAGTTGGTGGGTTCGAACTGCCAACCTTGTGGTTCGCAGTCCAGTGCTGATCCTACAGCTCCATACCAGGCAATTCTTCATAAAACTAATTTATTATTGTTCTCTGAGAGATGCCAGTCTGATTTGCTTGTACTTAAAATGGAATTCATGGATTTTTAATTGAGTTCATAAATAGATAAAAAATGCTAAATTTAATACTTTTGTCATATTGCTTCCTTGGTCAGATACATGTTTGTCTGTCATAGACATCCACATATGTGCTGGTTCCTGTTTGTTTATGTGTGTGTGTCTGAAAAGAACAGAGAAGGTGGACTCCTGTCCTGCCAACTGTTCTTTCTCTTATTCATTAGCCGGGTCTCCATGTCTCCCTTCTTGTTTCTGCAGATGAATTATGGTGGAATGTTGTTACGTTGTTAGTTGCCATAGTGTTGCTTCCAACTCATGACTGTGTTACAGAGTACAAGTGCTACTTAGGGTTTTCTTGGCTATCATTTTAACGGAATCAGATCAACAGGCCTTTCTTGGACAGCATCACTAGTGTGTTTGAACCACTGACTTCTGCTTAGCAGCTGAGTGCAAACTGTGTGTGCTGCCTATTAGATACCTAGTTTCTAAAACTACCTCCACTCCCACCAACTTGTGTTTGGAATACTCGTGCACCGATAGGTGTGTCCATTCTTCAGATAAATCAAAGAGATTCTATTGTAATATTTCTTTTATTCATTGGAGACAATTTAGTAGTTACACCACTGACTGACTTTCCCACTCTTCATTCCTGTGGTCCACAAGGTTAAGGTCTTACTCTGTACCAGGACCCTGGTTCTGGGAGAAGGAAATTGAACAGCAGTTTCCCGCAGCTCACAGTCTCTGGGAAAGAGCTACATATTTATTTCTGTGTCTTATCTAATGTATCTTTTTGCTAAAAGAATAAAATGAATAGATTACTAGAAGACAGATCATTTTAAATTAGGTTAGTACAAGAAAGGTCATGGAAGTCTCTTCTAAACTCATGAATTTTCAGTTTCCATGTATTTGACTTGATTTCCTTGGTCTTCCTATTGTTGATTTCTAATTTGATAGCATTGTGGTCTGAGAAGGTGCTGTGTAGTATTTTGATATTTATAAATTTATGGAGACTTGTGGCCTAAAACATGGCCTATTCTGGAGAATGTTCCATGTGCACTGGAAAAGAATGTGTATTGTGCAGTTGTTGGGTTGAATGCTCTGTTCACATCTATGAGGTCCAGTTGGCTGATTGTGTTATTTAGTTCTTCTGTGTCTTTGTCAAGTTTCCTTCTGGTTGTTCTACCCACTTTTGAAAGTGGTGTATTAAAATCACCCATTATTATTGTAGATTCATTAAATTTATGAATTTTAAGGTGAGTTTGGATTCATGAGTTGGGGCTCAATAGGTGAAGCATAGTGGAGGGGTGTTCCAGGAACTCTGCTCACAGAATCAATCACATGACCAGTGGTCCTAAGGTAAGATAAGACCAGTGTGCTTGCTGCTTAATGAGCTAAGGAGTGAGAGGAGCAGAGGTCATTCATGTGGAATCTGAGTTTGAGTTTTATTTCCACTGCAACTAAAACCAATGAAGAATTTAATTCTAAAATTTCAGTCTAGCTGCTGTGAGAGATGTGAAGGGAAGGAGAATGAGTGCAAACTCCAGGTAGACAAGTCTGTTGCACTGACCCCCAAACAAGAGGGTAGTTTGGACAAAAGAGATGGAGAGAGGCAGGTGGACTCAGTGGCATTTTCAGAAAAAGAATTGATATTAATTGGTTATATTATAGTTGGTGACACACAAAGGGAATTCAAAAGGTTCCTGGAAAAGTGGAATTAAAAGGTAATGGAATTTTCCCATGAACCTTCAGAAGTCCATATCATGCAGGTTTTTTAAAGTTCTCTTTAGCACCACCAAGTATTTATATCACAGTATTGAAATGGTTTTCTAATCTTGAGCAGATGGTTTTCTGATAGATATGTTTCTATGTAATGTACTGTATCAGTAATAAATACTTTTGACTGCCAGTAAGAGAATACTCAACTAAGGATTAAATAAATAGCAGTAAAAATATTTAGTTCCCTTATATAAGCAATCTAGAGGTAGACGGTTCTAGAACTGATACAGTCAATTGATGGTATCATCAAAAACTCAGATTTAATGGCTTTGTGGTGATTCTTTGCATTTGGTCTGCATCTTAAGGAATATTGCCGCATTCTTTCCTCCAATCATGCCATTATTCATCTTGAAAGTAAGGCATTCTGTTGTGATATTGATGATGGAAGTGTTTCCCAAAGACCTGTAGCAAACCCCTCTCTCTGTATCTCATTGGCTGTAGTATGTGTAACTTCAAGGGAGGCTGTAAAGACATTCTCTACCAAAAGGAAATGTATTTTCCACATTTGACTTAGACAAAGAATGTTTTATGCTCTGGGACCAAGAATGTTATTGCCTACACAAAATCAGGAGTCTGTTTGTAATTGTGAAAAGTAGACTATTAACGATGTAAGGATTCAGAAGTCAAATGCAGCGCTTTTTAAATTTCAGATGTGCCTACTACTTCAATACCTCTGTGACTGTCAGGTCCGGCATCGGATAGAAGCCATTGTAGCCTTTTCAGATGACTTTGTAGCTAAACTTCAAGACAATCAGCGCTTCCGATATAATGAAGTTATGCAAGCCTTAAATATGTCGGCTGCGCTCACAGCCAGAAAGACCAAGGAATTTAGATCCCCACCTCAAGAGCAGGTACAAGAATGAGTTGAAAATATCTTCCTTTTCACTCGGGTCTTTTCTTATAGCATTCATGTGTGGGTATTACCAAAAAGATGTCAAGTATAGCATATATTACATGTGTATTCTTTTCCTGTTCTGCTTGAATGAGCTGAATTGATTTATGTAGTATTCGGTTTCAATGAAAGAATCCACTTGGCTAGTTTACCCAAAGAAGAAACCTGGTTTTGTCACAGACCCTTTAGGAGCATCAGCATACCTGTTCTGAAGTTCTACAGATAGGAAAAATATCCAGCCACAGAGAAGGGTCTTCTCTAGCCAATAAGCACTGCCACCAGTGTTAGAGACCCTTTGTTCTAGGAATAGGTGCTAGAAGTTTTTTGTTTCCCTAGAAATTGTGTCCTCTGGCTTGCTCGAGATCTGTCACTCTGTGGCTCTTCCTCTTGTTGCTCACCTTGAACTATATGTCTTCCTAGGGCACAGTAGAACCAAAGTCACATACCTGTGGCAGAGTATGAATTTCTCTGGGGATGTAGGTTTTCTGGCTCACTTGTACGTGGCTAGTTTAAATATAAATGATACAGCCACTTTAGGAAACAGCTTAGTGGTTTCTTAAAAAGCTAACCAATTCAGCTGCTCAACAGCACCTGCCAACAGCCAGATAATTGTTGCTGCTGAGTGTGTTGAGTCAGTTCTTTCTTATAGGCAACCCTGTATAGGGCTTCTGAGGGTGGCTGATGGGTTTAGACTGCTTACCCTGCAATTACCAGTTCAGTGCTTATCCTAGAGTGCTGCGCCAGGGTTCCCAGCAACCCTATAACCCATAAATTGTGCCCATGGACATTTATCATAGAAAAATGAAAACTACGGCCACGCAAGAACTTACACAAAAATGTGCACAGCAGCTTTATTTGTAAGAGCAAAATATTTTCATCTAGTGAATGTTAAACACGCTGAGATACTTCCGTACAACACAATGCAGTGGGTTACTGGTATACACACAACAATTTGGAAGAATCTCGAGGAAACTATGCTGAGTAAAAACTGCCAATCCCAAAAGGTGGTTCTTGAAATGGTAAAATTATATGAAGAGCAAACAGGTGAGTGATTGTCAACAGATAAGGGCAGGTGAGAAAGACTTTGTGTAGAGTACAGGAATGGTCTGAATCATGACGGGATGGTTTCAGATTTTGACTGTCTCAGTGTCAATATCCTTGTTGTGATATGGTTCTAAAGCCTATGAGATGTTTTCATTGGGGAGACTGGATAAAGGGTTGTTGTTGTTGTTAGTCAGTACTGACTCATAGCGACCTTATGCACAACAGAATGAAACACTGCCCAATCTTGGTCCAA